TCTCTCTCTCTAAAACACAACAAAACGGAGTCAGAAAGAGAGGCAAAAGAGAAAGGTAAAAGTAAGACAGACAGACAGACTAACTGACAGACACACAGACAGACACACAGATAAACAAATAGATAAGATAGATAGATCGACAGACAGACATATTATCCTCCCCTCCCTCCCTCTCTCCCTCCCCACCCACATACCCACCCACCATCCCCCTAACTCCGATGAGTTCCCTCTCCCCCAACCCCTACTTGCCGGGTCAAGAGCTAAGGGGATTAACTGGCCGCCCGCTAAGGGAAGTAATAAAATGTCAATGAGTTCCCACCGAGATTCCTGGTTTAAAATATTGTTTTTTCCTCCAACGACAAAGAGGCCAAGGGAAATAACTCCTTTGTTTTTGTTTCGCCGTGTAAATCGCTGACAATGGGGGCCGACAATGGCGAGACACGCGAGGAATCGGGCGAGAGAGAGACGAGGAATGGCGAGGGTTTTCTCTACAGAGATCTACTCGCACTGTTCGAGAGATCGCGACCTCAGTGCTCTCTTGGACCATCTCCATTTTAAATAAAAGTGAAAACAGTTCATAGCAAAGGCGGAACTTAAGAAAAAAAGTCACACTTTCAATGTTAATAAAGCTGTAGACACGACAAGAAAGCACAGAAGTCGCGATATGATGATGATGATGATGATGACTTTACCGAGATGTGACTGGCTGTGAATTGACCTAGAAAAACTTGTTGCTAATTTCTTTTCCAAAACTCAACAGCAGCAGATGGTTGTTGGAACAACTTTAGAGCCCCTTGTTCTTTTTTGTTCTTTTTGGTATTGTTTATTCTTTTATTTTGTTTGGTTTACTATGGGATTTTGTATTGTTTTTGTTCTTTTTATTCTGCTTTCCACACAGTATTTATTACGTTGCTTTGTCGTAAGCAGGACTAGTTTTAGTAAGAGATTTACGTCACTTGCAACACAATAAAGACATATAAGTGCCGAAGATTAGAGGAGTTACAAAAGAGTAACAAATATTAAAAAGATGGAGGAGAGATCAGGACGATAGATGTTTCATAGAAAATAAGGAGCAGACCACACCAGAGCACCCGCCAACCACTCACGGAGTGAGAGACTGAGGAGCGAAAGATGAGCGCACTGATGACTGAAGGGTGACGTCAGGCGGTGGACACTGGACTGACTGGCATCTAAACAGACACCTGACATCCGCGGAGATAAAGAGAAAGTGGAGAGAGAGAGAGAGAGAGAGAGAGAGAGAGAGAGAGAAAGAGAGAGAGAGAGAAAGAGAGAGAGAGAGAGAGAGGGTGGAATGGGAGGGAAAGAGAGAAGGAAGGGAGGAAAAAGTATGAGAGACACACAGATAGAGTTAAAGAGAGAGAGAGAGAGA